AAGGTGATCAGAGTGAAATCAGTCCAGGTGCATCAGGGGCATATAAGGTCATAGAAGTAGCAAGGTAGCATAGCACCTGTCAAAAATGATTGATTACCACTCCCCCGAATTTGACCCCCCCGAACTTGACCCCTGAACTTGATTCTCCAAACGTGACCTGCCCGAACCTGGCCTCCTGAACTTGACACCCCCTGAACTTGACTCCCCCAAAACATCACACTCACCAGCAAATCATGTCAGGACATCTTTCCCCAAAATACAAGTGCAAACTTTATAACGAAGCTACTCCAGCCCTTACATTTGAATGGCATTTGGGAAGCTGGCCTAGTCGAGATACAGTATCATCGCAGCTGGTACATGATCATTACAAATGATGGGTTCTACATTTCTCACACTGTAAATAAATGGAGGTTTCAGCTGCACAAGGGATGTTACAAGGACATTCAAGATGTTCAGGACAACATGCCTTAGCAGGCATCCTTCAATCAGCACCAACTCTAACGTTAAAGTCTCGAGAATGAACAGAGGCTCTTTCTCGGGGATTTTCTTGATTGTAGCTGCCAGATCATCACAGAATTTGTCTTTTGACTTCTGCTGTAGACGACAGTGTTGGTTCATATGCACTAATAAGGGTGACTGGTCCTGCTAATAAGTGGAGCTGCAGAGATAGGATTCTTCGCTGCCCACAGTAGGTGGAATCCCAGGAGAAGGCAGATGCTCCTCTGCCTGATCCTCACTAGAGGAGGCCTCTGATGGGCGCATGGCAGTTGCTGCAAAATGATTTCTGGAACCCCTGTTTCAATTCTATGTCTAACTGACCACAGACCAAAGCAAGGGCTTGGCAACGCTAAAGCCCTTAGCGTGGAAATGAATTAGAAGAAGGCAGGTGCTCTGAACTTGCGAGAGAAGTAGATGGGAACAATAACACCTACTCGCTGGAAGCCTTCAAAAGCCAGACAAGCCTCAGTCGAGTAAGAGCAGGTCAGGGTAGGCAGGACCATGTGCAGCAGAAACAAGCAGAGTTTACCAGCCCTTCAGGGGTGGGCAAAATGTGGCCCTCCAGATGTTGTTGAACTGCAACTCCCATAATTCCTAGCCCACACAGCCAGTAGTGAGGAGAGCTGGGATTTGCAGTTCAGCAACATTTGGAGGGCCGCACTTTGCCCAGGTCTGGGATAGAGGATTGTGGGAGAACAGTGGGGAGAGTCAGCCCTCATGAAAAGGGAGTTGCTGCTTCTGCAGGTGCAAAAACCTTACGAAGGCCAAAGTACTACTGTTTCTCCTCTAGTAGTCCAGGGAGTAATCTGTGGCATTAAGGCAGGAGTGGACAATCTCAGATGCCCAAGCTGCCCCCCCACGTGCCTCCTCATGGATCTTTTCCTTCTTCAGGGAAAACCCAGAAGTTAAAAATCATTTGGGGACGGGGGCTAAAACGGGTATGCCTTTGTGTCAGAGGAGGATGATACTTCTTGGAATCTGCACACAAAGAAACATGGCCGTACATGGACCTACCCAGGCTGGCTGGTGGCCTTTTAGGAGGTCTTTTATGTGATCCTCCAGATGTGAATTGAATTGCAGATCCCACCAGCCCTAGACGCTTTTGAACATTTAGGGCAGGAATGGGCAAATGGTGGTTCTCCAGGTAGAGATGAGCTGCAAATGACATTAGCCCCAGCTGGCATGTCCAACGTTGAGAAGTGATGGAGTCTTCAGTGCAGCAGCACCAGTGGGGCTACAGATCGCCCGCCTCTGTGGTCCTACGGGAAGCAACATTCTCCCGGCTCAGTTGAGCGTTTGTAAGATTCTGTGGCATTTCATGGCTCCTGCCCAGGGTTTGTGGGCTGAGGCCAGCCTTTCCATGTGAAGGATGGAAAAAATGCTGTGTGATATTCCAGGAGGGCAGGAGGAGGTGCTATTGGCATATCATCTGAAATCAAGCAACTGAAGAGAAACTCAAATGGGTGGGTCTCAGGCCACCTCTTTTCAGGAAGCTCTTTTCGTGTTGATTTGTCTGTCACTCCCCTCCCTGTGAGCATTCCTGTGCTCCTTGCTTCAGCCAGTGGCCACCATGGAACCACACAAAATAGCCCAGGCTAGCCTTTCAGAATTCAGCCTTGTCTTGTATATAGACCTAAAATCTCCTCACTTTTCTTGACTAAAGCCCTCACTTGACAGCATTAGGTGGCATCTTACCATATCTCCGCTCAAGCATCTCTTTCCAGCACACGCTTGTTTCTCAAGCTGAGACCACATCAGCAAAAAATGTGGGATATGCTCGGGGATTGGGACAGGCTGGTTCATTTTTCCCCCCGTTGATCACATGAGATAAAAGGAAAACGGAGTCAGCCCAGAGTTCTCCCCACCTCCCAATCTGCATTTTCTGCCTCAGCTTCATCTAGAGCCTTCTACTTTTTTTAAATTACATTAGATCGATTCGCATTATTTCAGGCAGTGTGATTGCTTGAACCGATGCTTCCATTTCAGAATTGATCTAGGTGAGCCGCAAAGGAAAAAAGAAAAAAAAAAGAAGTTTGCCCTAATACTGTAGGAGAGATTTGTTTTAAGAGAGACCAAAGCACGAGATCGGTCTCTTGCTGCTCCTCTTTGTAGGGATTGCTCAAAAGTAAAACGCAATGCTGCTTACTCCCAGGAAAGCGTGGCACCCCCCTCTCAATCCCCCACAGTTTGTCAGGCGGATCCTTCCGAGAAGTACACAGTCAGCTTGTCCCATGATGTTTGCCTCCCCTCCGCCGCCGCCGCCGCCGCCAGTTGTGGAAACGGGGCACCTACACAGCGGTGGGCGCGGCGAGGGGGGGGGTGTAAATGCAGCGTGGGAAAAGAAACGAGATGAGGAGATTGAGTTCTTTTGCAGCTGCGCCCCCTGCTGGGCTACAGAAAAGCTACACGCGCGGGCTGCCCGGCCAATTTCTTCCTCTCCCTCTGTGGCCCCGTTCACTTGCGCAATCTGGACCTTGATTGCGCAAGTGAACGGTGCGACTTTGCAAGGAGTTATTTTGCATTTCTCTCCATGTGTAGTCACAGCCTCAGCCTCTCGGGAAATATTTCAGGGCGGTAGGTTTCAGAGGAAGATGTTAAGGCTTTCCTCTCATTCCCTGACACCCCCCCCAGCTGCAGTCAGCCCAGAGACATGGGGAGGGACCTGCGGATCTCAGTACTGTATTGATTTGAAGTGTTTTGTTCAAACTGAGAACGTCTCTTGGGTGGATGTGACCATGTGCTGTAGCATCGTTCCCTTTGGGCCACTTGCCAAGAAAAACGCTGCCAGGTGCAGCCACAACACCCTTTTTTATATAAGTTCAAAGGCAGGTTAATATAAGTCCCACCCAGAGCTTGTACAGTGGACCCTTGACTTACAGACGGCTTGACTTACAGACTTTTTGAGTTACAGACTTCTCTGGCCGCAAAATTTAGGTTTGACTTGCAGCCGGAGAATTCCCATAATCCCCTGACTGTGCTGGCTACGGGAGGGATTTGGGAAGGTGTCCTTCAAAAGGCTTTCCAAGCTTGTAACTATGAGCTGGATACCTATCTAGTGTGGTGCAGTGGATAGGGTGACGGATTAGGTCTCAGGAGGCCTGGGTTCAAATCTCTGCTCAGCCATGGAAGCTGACTGGGGCAGTCGAACTGGTATTACCACTCCTTAAATATCTCACTTATCTTGAAAGTCCAGTTAGGGTCACTATAATTCTGTTCAAACTTGATGGCACATACTAACAAACTATGAGGTAAAACTCTCCTTCTGAAAACTTTTTTAAAAAAGGCTTCCCACTTCATATTTGAAAATCTCACCCCTTTTGCATGAAATAAATGTACAGTAGTCACAAAAACACAGAGGATGGATTTTTGTCTTGCATTGTAGCTGCCTCCCTTCCCGACAGCTTTAGAAGGAGGGGAGTTTATCTCTGTGAAAAGCAGTGGTGGCACCAGGGGAGAAAAAAAAACCCTGTGTGGATGAAGAAGAATGTCTTGTTAGTGAAGTTAAGGAGAACTTTGCTCATGTTAGAGTTCTAAATGAAAATCTATATATGTCTCAATTAAGACTCCTACATGGATGTTCTTTTTATTGGAAAGTCATTAATGATGATGGCACTAATTTTCAAGTAGTATGTTTAGGATTGCAGCCTCATTTTACTTTAAAATTTGTAATTCAGTTATAATAAGGATGTGAAAAGTAATAATGAAGACCCGTGGGATGAATCACTTATTGGGATGGCATCAACATACACTTCTTCTTCAGTGCCACCTGTGGGGAAAACGCATGGACAGGGTGAGCCAGCCAGCCAGCCAGCCAGCCAG